CACAGTTCTGCGGTTGCCGCACAAAGAGTCCCTGACGCTGATGTATCGGCGGTCGAAGGAAGGGCAAGGGATCAGAACCGAACAGACGAATATAGCCAGGATGATCCAGAGTGCGAAGCCATAGCCGATGTCGATGACATGGTCTTCATGGTTGTTAGAGAAAAGGAAATTAGAGATCTGGTGAAACGCAGAGGGAGAAACCAAAAGAGAGTCAGGTCACAGTTCCAGGAATGGTACATAAGCAAGCAGAGATCAGGCAGGAGTCAGAAGACATGTCAGTCAAACAGATCCAATGGGAACAAGCAGGCTTAGAGGCCAACAGGCAGAACAGGTCAAGATCATGTAGTCAGAACACAGGAACGTTAGAATAAGTCTCACCAATGGCTCGAAATAATCTGTCACCTATGACTGGTCTGAGAGCTGGTTATATAGCGACTAATTCAGGTGGATCAAATGGGCGGGTAATGAGAACTGGGTGGATCTAAGCAGGTGTGGGAAATGAGTGATCAGACCAGGCATCAGTTTTGAAATCATAACGTTATCCGCCAATAGTGCAATTGCGATTTTATTTAAGTTTCCCTCAAGCATGAAAATGACCCTAAAAGCTGCTTGTCCAGAGTCCATTGTTGTAAAGCTTTACTATTTAAGCATATTGACCAAAATTAAAGGGCTCTGCAATTTAAAAAATTGCATTTTCTTAAATTGCAAATATATTGAAAATGCAATTAATTGCCCAGCCCTACAGACAACCTTGAAAAAGTTAGGCACCCAGGAAAAAGCCTCATGATAAGCTGCTAGAACAACCTCAGCTTTCTGATCTTTGACATAGAGGAGCAGTAAGTTCTCCTCACCTTATTTCCAAAGGTTGAGCCCATCATGGAACTTAGGATGTTCATCTGAGCTGCTTGCACTCAGGATCTTGTTATATGGTTATAAGTCCAGCTCTGCCTTCATCCCATACCACAAAGAAAACATTTTTAAATTGATCCCAATATTGAAGCTAGAAGTGATGTTTCTTTATCTAGTGGCTATTGCTTTTTTTTTCATAAAGCACTTTGAATATCCTTGTGTATGAATTGTAATATAGTTCATTTTCACTTTGATCAATAATAAAGTTTATCTTATTTAAATAAACTCTAACATCTTATGTTATTTCAGGTCCTTTGTCACGATTTTCAACTATATTTGAGAATAACTATGTGACAGATGACTACAGATTTCTGAATTGATTTAGTTAAAATTTTTGACTATAGAGCTGCCTTTATGGTCTTATGTTTTCGGAAAAAGACATGTGTTTAATAGTATTACAGATTGGACATTGTTGCGTCTATTCATTACAAGGGATGAACTTTAGCTTCTTTGAGCTTAAAAGGATGAAAGGGCCAAAAGGTCTCAGCTGCTCCCCCAACAAGATGACCCCAGGAGGTCAGGCCAAGGCCAGTAAATGCACGGAGATAATCAATTACACCAATAAGAGGTAAATGATAAATCACAGAGATCTGGGTTTGACGCATTCGTCTGTCATAAGGTGATGAAATAGGCTAACAATTACTTAAGAAACTTTAACTGAAGAGCAGTCATTTAACTATAGAGGTCTTCGTAAAAACCCTAACCATCTAAATTATCTGGTATTTATCTATTTTTTGTTTGATTAATAAGCTGTTGTTTTTTTGTGTTTGATATATTTGTGATGTTTTAGTTACTTAAGTTCATGGAATCAGAAATAAGATAAGGTTGACAATAAGATGTCATTTTTACTTTGGCTTTATTGCTTACTGTATGTTTTTTTTTTTTAGTAAAGGTGTAAAAGAGCTAGTATATATTGATGGTTTTATATGATTCTAGATTCGTTCGGCTCGTCTGTGGCCCAGAATCTAGATCCAAGCCCATAACCGTACACAGAGCTGAAGAGAAACAGTTAACAGAACCAGAGCGTCAATTCTCTGGATGACTGGAGCCAAACAAACCCTGAAACTCAGCAACAAAAGGCCCCAATCCTGCTCTCCATTCTGCTCCTCCTCACCATCCCAGTCATTCACTGGTTCCCAGTTAAAGGGGGCGCAGGGGATGGGTTTGGGTCACGTGGTCCAGGCGCTTGTTTACCACAACAAGAGGCGACCGAGGGAGAATCAGACTGCTGAGAGTGAGAGAGAGATACTGCTTTTCCCACCGACTCATTCAGAACAACTTTCACACGCCGTGGTGCCGACCACCGTCGCCATGGAGACAACTGGACGACCAAGAGGAGTGGCAGGAGAGAGAGAGTTTTTTACATTCATACCCATGTGACCTAAACAGAATAATCTTTAAAAAAAAAAGTTTAAAAAATATGTCTAAAAAAAACAATAATTAATAATCCACAATTATTTTGTTTTAATTAATTCTAATATTTTGGTGCAACATTGTTCAATGAATAATGATAACTGTGTTAAAGTTGCGTTACTCACTACCTTTCATGGAAAATTCAAAGATAAAAATAGTATAAAGATGAAAAGGGTTAGTTTTCCAAAGACCTATAAACTCTGTGTAATAAAGTTTAAATCAACGGTAGCATTAGCAAGCAAAGCTACAAACCATAAATATAATGAATGTGGAAGGATATGCAATCCATCAAAACTAAAAACAAAGAGGAAATATGAAACAGCTTTGATTGAGTCTACAGAGAGTGAAGAGATACATATAAAAAAAGTGTTTCTTGACAAACTAAAAATGCAAAAGTTGAAAGAAAGATATTTCTGCATCCCCGTGAGCCACTAAACTAATATTTATCAGAATAAAAAATATTTTTAATGAACGGCATCTTTGCTGAATGGTGACTATGAACAGGTGATCCAAACCTACTGTACAGTACAAGTCTTCTCTGCCAATAAGGTCCAAACATTTAATTGGAGACTCCAAGATCTTAATATTGTTGGTCTGAAACCAAGATGCTGCAGTTTACTTATGTGTTTCCTCTTCACTCCAGGACAACTCTAGAGTATTTGGATGTATTTTCACTGATCCATGATTCCCGGTATGCATGAAACAGGCCCAGTACCAGAGTAGGACACCATGCTTCAAATTCCAGGGTTTAGTGGTCATCTGACGAACTACCTCCACCACCTAGTCCCAAAAAGCCAGAAATAAAATTATTACCATGCAGGATATCTCTTAAGGTCATTCAGTGTGTTTTTCAGTTACTTTTATTATCTAAAATCTAAAATGAATATGGCCTCTAATTTCTGTAATGGAAATAATTGTGGGACACAGTACAGCTCCTATGCAGTAGATAGGAACATGAGGTCCTTTTGCTATATTAACTATTATTACA